CTCTATGGTCCTTTGATTGCCAGCTCTTTCCTTTGGGTATGTAAGTGGTGCCACGTACACACTTCTTCACGGGGATTTGGGTGCTCAGCAAGCCTCCGTGTCATACATTTTCCTGAGTTGCCATAGGTAGGTGGTTTGGGATGGTCCCTTTTATTTGTATGTGCTAATATGATTGCATTAGGAGTCTGTGTTCTGGGGAAAATCACTGATTCCTTCAACAAATATTTATAGACTTCCCACTGTGTGTGGGGCACAGTTCTGAGTATTTGGGATACAGCGTTAAATCCTTTTTTAAAAAAGTATCTATGCCCTCAAGGAGCTTACTTGTGCTGGGGGAAATTGGCTTTAGCTGTGCAAACTATTGTAATACATACTGTGCTGTGCTGTGGGCAATAGAAATAAAGCAAGACTGGGGAAGGCTATGTTGGATTGGGATTTTAAGGAAGCCTCTGAGAAAGTGACCATCAAATCCAGATGTGAAATGAATGAGGAATTATGTTCCATAACTAGTGGGAGCAGCTTTTCTAGACAATGAAAATTTGAATTGAAATTAAGAGTCTGGAATATGGCTGATGTTTTCCTGACTGCTCAGGGTGGGTGGGGGAAAATTGTCAGAAATGAGTGGGGAGAAATGAACCAGGGTCAGGTCATGTGGGGCTAGAAGACAATGGGGGTGACACTGGGTTTTGTTTTTGCTTGACTCCTCCCCCCCAGAAAAGGAACATTGAGAGAAGGAGACTTATAGGATAGATTTTACATTTTTAGGCAATTGCCAGTTATCCTTCTAGTGTTGATTTTAGTAGGACCACAACAGACAAAGTAGGGAGACAGATCACTTGGAGATTGTGGTAGTTCAGGCAAAAGATGATGTTGGCCATGGCCGTGGCTAAAGACAGTGTGACATGGTCAACAAGGACAGGGTAGGCACGGTGGCAACACTGAAGTTCTGCTGCTGAGCAACTGAAGGGAACCAGTTTCTGAGATGGGAACGGTAGGGGAGGAGTTTTGGGTGATGTGTTGGGCATACACTAGCTAACTTTAAGGAAACTGGTGAACAACTATGCAGACACTAGGAAGAGGGCTGGGGAGCTCAGCCTAGATGTAGAATTTCTAGAATGTACTAGAAATTCATTAGAGAGTCATTCATGATCAATGACTCTCTAATGAATCGTAATCGTAAAATCAATGCTGTGGAAGAGATCAACTATGGATTTAATCTGTCTAGAGCCAGGTGCTGAGCTTGGGTCCTCAGGCTCTCCAACAGGCAGAGAAAGAGGGTCCAGAGTCGGGGGAGAAAACCCAGCGTGTCCACCAAGGGCCCTCAGTGAGTGTCTCTGCAGAGGCTGCTTCGCTCTATTTCACTGAAGGTCACATTCGGATGCAAAGCTTATTCTAACAATTATCAATACAATATCGGTGAGAGATTAGTTTGCGCCTCTCTTTCTTCCCAAGAATCACTGAAGAATATGTAGTAAGTCTGATTTATCCTTACAGGTTCTGCTCCGCCCCCAAACTCAAGTCTCTGGAGTCGTCAACAGTCTGATTAAAATTGTTTTAAAGAAATGTCATTAAAATCAACATGGACAATAAAGCAAAAGCTAATATGAAATTTTAAAAGGTTAAATGTAAATACTAATTATTTTTTAAATGTATAATTTTTGTCAAAGCCCCACTGAAGAGTTTAAAAAATTACTTTGCTTCAGCCCATCAGAGGAAAAGAATTTTTTGATGAGAAGGGAGATTTTCAGAAAAGAATTAATTAGTCATAAGGGCCATTAAATCTGAAATAAATAGAGGATCCTATTGGAAATTATATAAATATTCATAAAGATATAACTTTTACTGACAAGATGTCATTTGCTTCATTAAAATAATCTAATTTGAAATGAGCATCCTCAGAGAAACATAAGAACACAGGACAGTGGCAATATTAAATATGATAAAAGTTTTAAAACCTCAGTCCTCTGTAATTCTCAATTTTTTTGTAGAGTTTAATAAGTTGCTCAGAAATAAGTATATCTTACCACCTCCATAGTTTGCTAAGATATATTTAACAAATAAAAATTGTGTGTCTGGGGCTGGCCAAATAGCTCAGCAGATTAAAGTGCCTGCTTGGGGAGACTCAGCGGCTGGGGTTTGATTCCCGGCATGCTGTGCTGGTCGCACCCCCTGGGCATGCTGAGATGGCAATTGATACTGGGCGTGGTGGTGTGCACCTGTAATCCCAGTTCTTGGGAGGCTGAACACACGTGGATCACTATGAGTCCAATCTACATAGTGAGACTCTGTAGACCCTGTGGACCCTGTACTAAAAAAAAAAAAAAAAAAATTGTGTGTCTTTTCATATAGAATGCATTATTTTGAAATATGAATATATTATCCATCACCTCATATACTTATGTTTTGGTGATGAAAACTCTTTAGATTTATTATCGTAGCAATTTTTAAGTACACAATATATTACCATCACCTATAGGCAACATACCGCACGATAGATCTCCAGCTGAAACTTTAAACTGTCACTCTGGGCCAGCTTTGCTGCGTCTCCCTCCCCTCTGTCGCCCGACATCTACCATTCTACTCTACGCTTTTATGTGCTTGGCTCTTTAGGCTCCATGTATGAGATCATATAGTGTTTGTCTTCCTGTGGGTGGATTATTTCATGCCTAATTTCCTCTACGTTCATTTTAGTTGTCACAAATTTCAAGGTTTTTTAGTGCTTTTTCTAAAGGATAAATAATACACACACACACACACACACACACACACACACACACAATTCTCCATTGTTTCATCCCTTAACTATTTATATAATTATCTTTATCCATGTATCTATTGGTAGACATTGAGGTTATTTCCACTGCTTGCTTGTTATGAGTATGGGAGAACAAATATTTCTTTGAGATCCTAATTTCAGTTTTGAATATATATGCAGAAATGGGATTGCTGGATCAATTGGTAGTTCTATTTTTAATATTGTGATGAACCACTATGCTGTTTAAAATGTCTACTAATTTCTATTCCAACCACAGTGTCCTTCACAACATGTTTGTCTTCTTGACACTTGCCATCTAACAGGTGTGAAGTGATACTTATTGTGGTTTTAATTTGCACTTCCTGGTTGATTAGTGATATTGAGCATCATTTCATATCCCATGGCTGTTGGCCATTCATATTTTTTCTTTTGAGAAAGTCTATTCAGCTTCTTTGCTTATTTTTAAATTGGACTGTTTCATAGCTGTTGTGCTATTTGACTTCTTTATATATTTCGAGCATTAATTTTTTTCTTAGAAGCATTACTTACAAATGTATTCTCCCGTGCTGTACTTGTGTCTTCATCCTTTTGGTTGTTTCCTTTATGTGCAGAAGGGTTTTATTTTGATGCAGTCTTATTTGTCCATTTTTTACTTTTCCTACAGTTTTGGAGTCATATCCAAAGTTGTGTAGACAGATGTAGGAAGCTTACCATGATTTTTCTGGACAGCCTATACATTTAGATCTAACGTCTAACTGTGTCTTATTGTAGCCTTTGATGCCACAGTCTATCGTTAATGACCACTAATTCTCACTGATGGAAGAGGCTATTCGGCTAGAAAATAGATTGCAGAGCATGAGGATGTCAAATCAGAACTTGTGACTTCTGCTTCTAAGCTATTCAGTGAGCTGTAAATCAGAGTGAGCTCCAGGCCAGCCAGGACTGTGTAGAGAGACCCTGTGTCCAAAAGACAAAAAAAAAAAAAAAAAAAAAAAAAAAAAAAAAAAAAAAAAAAAAAAAAAAAAAAAAAAAAAAAAAAAAGGAAAGAAAAGCCTTCTGAATGTTGTAAGACTCATTTTAATTTCTTTTACCCTGGTAAAATTCTGCATATTTATATGTAAATTCTGCAACTATATTACCTCTACTTTTGGAAAGGAAACGTCTGATATCATAATATGAGAATTACGTTTATTTCTTAATAAAGGACATATTGAGGACACGGTAGCACATCGAGTCTTCGTGACAATCTTATGATGTGGGATACTAGTCTCATTTATTTTCTTTCTTCTTTTCTTTTCTTTTCTTTCTTTTTTTTTTTTTTTTTTTTTTTTTGAGACAAGGTCTCACTATGCAGTTTGGGCTGGCCTTGTGCTCACTCTTGTAGCCCCAGGCTCGTCTCAAACTCGCAGAGATCCTCCTGGCTCCACCTCCCGAGAGCTGGGATTACAGGTGTGCGCCATGACAACCAGGAAACGATGCGCGGTAACTTTCATACGGTCGATTAGCTGGGAAGTGGCAGAGCTGGGATTCGGATTCAGTGTGATTTCAGAGTGTCCTCTTTCCCAGCATGTGACGCAGCTCATTCCTTTACATTTTTGTGTTTCCTTAGCCACTCATAAATTTTGGGAAGACAGAATAATGCACAGAGCTAAGAAAAGAGATCTCTAGTTCTTGCTTACCAGCTGATCATTAGTACCTGTGATTATCAAACATATGGTCATTTCAGTGACTAGACTCTTCTGCAGTGACCACTGAATGTACTTCGGGGCCCTCCACTGCCAGTGATCTAGTTGACTGCAGCTGGATTCAGATGATGTACTTGGCTGTGAACAGTACCAGGCCCAGGCACATAGGAAAAATGATAGATGCTGAAGATAGGAGGGCTTAGAAGAGGCCTAGATTAGGGCAGATTTCTCTACATTTTTGAGATATTATTTTATTATCACTCTTATTTTGTGATGGGGGAAAAACTAAGTGCTAACAATAAAACCAGGTCCTTTTTGTTTTCTTTATTATCATTCCTTTTTTTTTTTTTTTTTTCAGCAGTCAGGCTGAGTTTAATGATGGGGAAGAGGACCAGACCATACATAGATCTGCCCATCCCCTTGCCCAAGGCCCCAAGAAGCCAGAAGTGGTCCAGGGGGAAGCTGTGGTTCCTCCCTAAGGCAGGTACCCAGGGTCCCTTAGACTTTGTGCAAAATACTAAATGTTAGTTTGGCATTGAAGGTCAGCTGTGAAAGGGGGGCTGATTCTTTGTGCAGCCAGCCCAGAGGGAGATGGAGGTGGGTTAGGTGGCCCCTGGCCTAGAGGAGAAAAGGAATGGGTAGATAGGAAGAGGGAAGGCAAAAGACTTCCCCCTAGCTTGGGGGGTACAGGCACAGGGCAAGTTTCTGTGTAAATTTCTCTGGGGTAGAGGGCAGACATCCAAGCAGTGAGGATTACAGATGCTCATCTCCAATGCCCTCGAAGGCAAAATTGCCGTGGACATCGCTGGCACTGGCATCTGTGCTGGGACTGCCAATCCCTCGTAAGCTCACAGCACTCAGCTTACTTGAGAGTTTGACCACGGACTCCCGGCTGGCATCAGGTGACTCAAGCAGCGGTGGAGACTTCACTGCTCGCTGGCTGTCTGAGCATCTCAGGGTATCTCCCTCCCACCGGTGCAGCATCTTCCTTATACTGCCCACTGATTTCTTCACCATCAGTTCATCTACCATGGACTGCAAACAGATGCTCATCATGATAGCCTGGGGGCTGGTGATGGTGACCCACTGCAGCCAACCCTTGCTCATGAGGTATTCAAAAGCCAGTTCCAGGCACACCTCACCCTGGCCCCGGCCTGGGCTACTCGTACTTCCACTGGGCAGTGGCACAGAAGAGGTGACCCGCCAACATCGCATGTGGGTGACCTGGAAGGAACCTTCACGAAGTTGTTGGCCAGGCAGGCGCAGCTGGAGACTGAGCTCACTGTTGCCTGCACTCACTACCACGGGACAGTCCTTCTCTGGGAAGTCAGCCACACAAACATCAAAGCACAGATAGCCATAGTGATGCAGAGTTTGGGCGAGACGCAGGAACTCCTTCTTGGAGACCTTCTCTTGTAGAGATGTGAGCTGCTGGTGCTGCTCTTTAGTGACCAGGATCCAGCCACGCTCAATATCTGACACTGTCTGAGCATAAAGCAGGTTCAGGCCAACCCAGTTCTCCATGACATCATCATCATAGGCAGAGTCCCAATAACTCTTCCTTAACACAGTCTTATACTCTTGATTCCGAAGACTGGTAACAGACACATAAGGCAGCTCAAACTGTTGCAACTTCCGCACAAAAGAAGAGGCTCCATCCTCTTTTTCTCTAACAAGGAAGAGACTGAAGTATCCGATTAAATCATCTGGAAGATCCAGCTTTGCAGCCACAGCCTCTAGGACATCCTCGGTCTGATCTGAAGTTAGCATGTTGACCAAAACTTTCCGCCCATTGCTGAGCAGCACTTCCGAGGAGACCTCCTCTGTGGGGAGCTGCTGTGTCTCCCACTGTGCCTGATGCAGGAAACTATTGAAGGTCTCACCGCTCCCAAGCAATGGGGCTGGCCGAACAATTTGCATGTACTTCTCTAACTGCTTTCTCCTCTGTTTTATCTCTGCAGGTGTCAGAGAGAAAAGTTTCTTTGGGGGAAACGCAGGAAGCACATTTGCCCCATACTCCTTCTGAAGCTGCTCGTGCAGGCCCAGAAGCTGGCTGTAGTGAACCTGACAGCGCAGGGCTCCATTCAAGTGAATGTTATAGGCCATGTAGGCAGAGCCGCCACTGTCCCTGTTGTGGGACTCAGTTTCAGGAAGGGAAATGTGCATGATCCCTATGGCAAGGCCTACTCAGGCTCCGGACTGTAAGGGCCGCGGCGGCTCTGCACAATCACCTCCACTGTTCAGGGCATCCCCGCAGCCTCACTCACCATTTTGGGGGACCTCTTTATTATCATTCTTAATATCTGACTTAACAGAAGAATTTTTCACCTTAAAATTCAGTTAAGGTCTGTCTCTAATGAAATCGATATAGTGTTTCAGTTACTTTTTTCTTATTGCTTGGACAAAATACCCCACACCCAAAATTAAGGAAGGAAAAGTTTATTAAGCTTACAGTTAGTGGAGGTTTCAGTCCATACTCAGCTGGCTCCAAGGCAGAGTGGCACATGACAGAGGGCAGCAGTTCATGGAGACGGAAAACAGCGAAGCAGCAAGGGTCAAAAGAGAGGAGTCGCAGCTGCCACAACTAGACAGCGTCTCTCCCTTCCTTACACTGTACTGAGGCTCTCTGCCCCAAGGTGGGTGTAGCAGTCACACCCATAATTCCTTCAGTGTACCATGAATTAATCACAAACTGTAGAAGCTGTCCCAATGACCGTATGAGACTTTTGGGGAATATCTAGACACAAACCATAACATAGAGCTTTATGTATTTGTGGATTTCCTGCAGTGCCCAACAATGCATTTGTAACAATTCCATTAAAAAGGCTCATATCAAGTAATGCATGCTTTCATGTTAATAGCCCACTTTTATTTCAAAATGATTTTGATTATTTAGCTATGTATTTTTTTAATCTTAGTTGCTTTTTCTTGTGGCTGAGACAAAATACCTGATGCTCAGGATTAAGTAAGGAAAGCTAAACTATGTAGCTCACAGTTTGTAGAGGTTTCAGTCCATCCCTGGCTGGCTCCAAGGCAGAGTGGCACATGGAGGAGGGCAGTGGAACACGGTGGTAGAAAACAGCAAAAGCTGCAAGAGCAAAAATGTAGGAGGAGCAGGGAGTGAGCCTCTCTCCCTCCCTTATATTGTATGCAGGCTGCCTACCCCAGGGCGGGTGTAGCATTCACACCCCTAATCCCAGCATGGGATCATGAATTAAGCACAAACTCTAGAAGCCTGCCCTCATGACTGCATGAGCCTCTGGGGGACATCTAGTCACAAACCATCATGGTATTTTAGAGAACTCTTTAAGAAGATTTTTTGTACTATTGATTTTTAGCTGTCTCTAATAGTTGTTTTACTTGTCTTCAAAAGCTTTTAATTAAATGTTATTATATGAAAGAAAAGTGGTAGATGTTACCTGCCACATGGTGCAGGCACTCACACCTGAACTGTAGACGTTCAGTGGTCCTAATTGTCATTACCCAGAAAATCAATTTCAGGGCTGGATGGCTGGTCTGGTGCTAGCTATGACATAATCTGATAAAATGTCAAGCCTCTTCCGGAATAAAATAATATTTTGAAACTGGCTGCAATAGGGCACAGGATTTGCACGCATATGCACTTGTGCTTATAGAATCCTTGGGCTGGAAGGGAACTGAATGGACAATTTTGTCAAGTTTCTTGCTAATTTGCAGGTGGGGCTAGATTAGGTGATTTACCTAAGAGGAAAGTTTGCTCATGACAGAGTGCTAGAATTAATTTTATTTTCATTCTATTCCTAAACGCTGCTACTTGACAGGAATTCAAAGATTAAGAATGCACTAGGGTAGATGAGGAGGGCAATGAGATAAGACAATAATACACTGTGGCATCACCACATTTATCAGAATGGAGTGCAGCCCCCCAATGCCGCCATGTTCTAGCTTTTCTTTATTTTAGTTTTGGTGGTGGGGATTGAACCTAGGCCTTGTGCGTACCAAGCAAGAAGTCTACCGCTGTGCTACCACTGCTGGCTCTAAAATGATTGACTTTGACTGGAGAATAATTATTCTACTAAACCAAACTCTGAAAAGTTGAAATGGTAGCAAAATTTTATCAAATATATTTCTAGAAAAACTAGTCACTGCATTTATATCTATAATGTGTGTGTGTATATATATACATTATATATAATGCTGAGAATATATATTATATATATACATTTTATATATAATGCTGAATATATATATATATATATATATAGGCTGAGAAGTAGAAATATAAACTACACAACATTTATGTGTCTGTGTTATTCATTTATATATAAGTAGATGTTAAAATTAAATTTTATGATGTTTTACTGCTTTAATTCTTGTTACTGAGCATTTATGGCCTAGTTTTGTGCCCTAAGCAAATATTAATAAGCCGAACCTCGTTTCTCCAGAACCTTACGATTTATCACTGACATGGATATACACATTAACCAAAAAAGGATAGATGAGGAAGTATAATAACTTAAATAATTCATTTATTTTGGGACTCTGAGAATGCCATGAAATTTTTAGTGCAGGAAGCTTAGCAGGAAAATAATAAAATGGAAAAATTTTCACTCAAATTCATCTCCAGAAGTCCTGGAGGAATAGCGGCAGCAGAAAATATTAGTATGATTAAAACACGTTTTTTTAACCCACAAAAGGAAGATAAATTTGGTGCTTTATGTAGTACCAACATTTAATATCGATGCATTTTCCATATAGGTTGATTCTGAAAATCTGTGTATTCTCTTAGTACACACCACTGTTTTTATTTTATTTTATTTTTATTTATTTATTTTTTTATTTGTGTATTTGGTACAAGGTCTCACTCCGCAGCTCAGACTCGTGGTGATCCTCCTGTTTGCAGCCTCCCCAGCACTGGGATTACAGGTGTGCGCCACCACACATGGACTTTTGTCGCTAGCTCAGCATGCCCCAGGGGCAGGGCTTTCGGGGCATGCTGGACCAGGGTTCGGACTCTGGTCGCTGCGCTTTCCAAAGGATGTTTTCCAAATCTAAGACTAAATTTTTGCTTCTAAAGGAAAATAACAGTTTAAGATCTCCTGTAATCCCACATAATATTCTACAGAACTGTTTCCTTTTGAGTATGTTATTACCGTTTCTCAATGTCTGCTCATATTTTTTGTGATCCTAAGCGTAACAAGGATAGCATATCATTTTCCACTGGTGTTAAATTCATAAATCAGTTTTGCAGAGAGCTGTCTCCACTATGAAAGGAATAGCCCTCCCAGATAAGGGTGAGGCTGTTTCAGGACAGCCTTAGGCGTAGCTCTGACCCTTTCCCTGGGGTCATAGTTTTTCTTTTTGAACATATTCATTCGGTATGCTTTGGTACCACGGCTTTCATAAAGTTAGTTTTGCGAGGAGTGTGCTGGGTAGGATTCTCTTAACATTAAGATGCGGCTATGGGACGGCGAGGTAGCAGATAAGATATGCAGAGGATCGGGTGAGAAAGTGAGGCCCGATGGCTGGGAGGACCCTGCGGGCAGGCAGAGGGAGTCCTCCGTGGCGTGTCTGTCTTCTCTATTCCGCTTTGTCTCCGTCTTCATACTTCTAGCGGAGGTGCATGCTTTTTTTTTTTTTTTTTTTTCTTTTTCTTTTTTTTGCCAAGTACTGCAGCACTTTATTTCTCCTTATACCATGACCTGTTGCTGGGGCCTAATGTTCTCACAGTAGAAAACCAAAATTTTCATCTTAAAGAGGTGAGTATAAAAAACCCCTTACATAAATTAAAAGAATGAATAAATTTACAGGTGTTAGTGCAAACTGTTTCCAACTCAAGGCAAGTAAACCACCGCCTGGATTCAGGTGGGAAAACAATGATGGTGGATGGAAACAGGGTCGTAAGGCTCGGACTTTCCCACCCTGTTAGACCAGCAAAAAGACTGGAGTCACCACTAGTTCACTGAGTCCTGCCAGCCCGAGGAACCCCGGAACAGTCAGCTCAGACTCGATGCCCTGCACAGATCTGTGCCGCAGCCACCCGGATTGCCACGCTGTGGAGTTCTCCTCAAGTGTGCTCAACTCATCCACCAAGTGACTGAACCACATCGACTAAGGGGATGAATCAAAGATGCACCGGGCATAAAGCAGGCTGAAAGAAAAAACCAGTTAACTTGAATACAAGGTCAGAATCAGCAACAAGTTCTACGAGACTACCTTCAACTGTGTCAGGAAGTGCGACGTGGACATTCGCAAGGGCCTATATGCCCACACGGTGCTGTCTGGTGGCCCACCGTGTACCAGGCATTGGTGACAGCGTGCAGAGGGAGAGCACCGCGCTGGCACCCAGCACGATGAAGGCCAACATCATCCCCCCTCCTGAGCGCAAGCGCTCCGTGTGGACTGGTGGCTCAATCCTGGCCTTGCTGTCCACCTTCTAGCAGATGTGGATCGGGGGTGCATGGTGATACCTCCTTTTTATTCAGCAGATGCCATTACACAAAAATCTATTAAACTCTTCACAGGTTACTCTAAAAGGAACACGTGATTGACTGTACCAATATGGACTTGAAAAAATACTTAAGCAGGGTTTTTGTGCATAGAATGCAGTGCATCCAGTTATCAGGATTTAAATTAATATTCAACTTAATAAAGTTAAGAATCAAATTAGGTTAATGTTCCTCACATCTTCCAGCTTTGCTCACAAATCTTATTATGATATTTATAAATCTAATAAAGTGAGAATGTCTTTAATTTTTCTTGGATTAGTATCTGATTAACTTAAAAGAAGCAGAATAAACTTCCTTAAGCAAGTAGTCTCATTTACTAATTTAATTAAGTTTCTGGAATGTTCTATTTTGCTTTTACAAATTCAACATATCTGATCTGCTAAACATTGCAGAGAGACACCCCAAAATATTTCTTGTAAGAATAGCTAAGTAAATAACGAGATACGTCATATTCAAGGATTAAGATAGCAATTATTTCCAAATGGACCTGTAAGTTTACTATAAAGGACATCAAAATTTCAACTAAGTTTTTTTGTTGTTGTGCAGAAATTAGGAAGCTAATTCTAAAACTGATATGCAGTAAAGAAAAATCCCGAAATAGGATGAATTTAGAGTGCTTCTATTGCTTAATTTTAATAACTAATAAAAAGCTATAGTAATCAAGACAGTGTGGTAAAG